ATTTTCACTCCAATCAAAAGATGCCATTCTGGTGCTCCAAAGCAGCGCTGTGGGGCGTCGTGGGCGTCACCGCCGCCGCCGTCACTACCGGCTCACTAGTCGCCGCAGCCTTCGTTGTCCACTACAAGAAAGAGTCCGACACAGCAGCAGCAGTGAAGCTGATTAGATCTTCGGAGATTATCGATGAAAAAGATGATAAAGAAGAAGAAGAGGTTGACGAGGAGGAAGAAAAGGACAATCTGGAGCTGGCCTTCCGCCGCGCCTTCATCCGCCGGATGGCCCGCGAGGCCTGGGACGCCTACTGCCAGGCGGCCTGGGGCCAGGACGTGGTGGTGCCCGGCCGTCGGCGGGCCTTCAACTTCGCCTTCGGCCCCTGCTCAGGTCACTCGCTGGTCACGGCGATGTCCACCCTCTGGCTGCTGGACCTCAAATCAGAGTTCGCCCGGGCGCGACGCTGGGTGGTGGAGCGCTTCACCGGCGACTCCCTGGCCGCCATCGGCAAGGAACAGTGGGAGCTGGCGCCCACGGTGGCCGACTACCTGGGCAGCTTCCTCGCCGTGTACGCCCTCACCGGCGACCGGGTCTTCCTGGAGAAGGCCGTTTTTGTGGCTCGGGCGCTGGCGCCCGCCTACGAGACGAGTCCCACTGGTAAGTTGAATGAAACAGCTGATTTTGTTTGTTTACCTTTTTCTTCCCTTTCTTTCAGGGATTCCCTACCCTTCAATCTGCCTGAAGACGGGCGTCACGCAGAAGCGCACCTCGAGGGCCGCCGGTGACTCTTCGGAGACTTCGGTCACCTCGGTGAGCCTCTCCTCTGCCTGTGCCGGCCTCCTCGAGCTGCCCCTCCTTTCGGACTTGACCGGTGACGGGCGGTACCGAGGGTGGGCGGAGAAGATCATTACCGTTCTGGTGAAGCTCTCAGCTGAACACGCTGCTAACACCTTCTATCCAGGACTTCTCTTGAACGCCCTCGACGTAGAGACGGGCGCCTGGAGCTGCCAGAAATCAGTGGCCAAAGTGGCCAGCCTTTTTCACGCCCAGGCGGGCTGCTTTCAGGGCCTGCTGAAGTCGGCCGTACAGCAGCAGCAACAGCAGCAAACAAACGAAAGTTCTTCAACCGCTTTGCAGCTGTACAAGACCGCAATGGACGCGGCCACCGCCGAGAACCGCCTCTTCACCGCCGAACCGAGCAGTGGCCGACTGTACGCAAAGACGCTGGACACCGGCAGCGGCCGCCATGGCGCCTACCTAGAGGTGACCGGCGCCTACCTGGGCGCCCTTCTCTCACTGGGCGCCTCTTTCTTCAAGAACCTCGTCCTCAAGAAGCTGATGGCGACGTCGGCGGCGGTGGTCAAGCAGGCTGAAGATAAAGAAGAGAAAGAAGAAGAAGACGAGGAGAAGGTCTTCGAGGAGCTGATGGCGGAAAAGGAGCGCATCCACCGCCACCGGCGTCTGGCACGGGAGCTCACCGAAACCTATCACTGGGCGTCGTCGGTGGCTGGCAGTGGACTGCCGCCCTGGCGTGTCTACTTTCAAAAGGAGGAGGACAATGTTTCGCCAACTAACTTCAAGCAGAAAAACTCCACAATCGCCGAGCACACTGCCTTCAATTTAGGGTAAGCCGTTTTGCAGTCTATTTTAACCTTAGCCTAAAAACTCCTCCTCCTCTTTCCAGTCCCGAACTAGCCGAGTCCTACTTTACCCTCTGGCGGCTGACCGGCGAGCGGCGGTGGCGCGAGTACGCCTGGTCCCTCACCGTGGCCATCTACGAGCACTGTCGCGTGCAGATGCCCCCACCTCTTAAACTTCCTCTTCAGCCATCATCTACGGCGGAAGAAGAACTACCGCCATCAAAAACCACTTACCACTCCAGACCTTCTTTTGGCTACTCGCAGCTCGAGTGTTCCATTTCCTCTTCCGGCGACCCAGCAGCCTCCGAGCGAATGCACCCGCAGCCGGCGGCCTTTTTGGGCGCCACTCTCAAGTACCTCTACCTGACGCAGCTGGAAAAGCCCAAGAAGAGGAAAAGTGGTGGTGGTGGTGGTGAAAAGGATCTTCCACAGCAGCAGCAGCAGTACCTTCCACTGGAGGAGTGGGTTTTCAATAGTGCCGGTCAGCCGCTGCCCATTTCAAGCCATTACCGCGGACTTGATAAGTTGAAAGTTGAGGAGGAGGTCAAGAGTGCTGGAAAGTGTACGGTGATGTAAGACCGACTGCTCACTGTAGATAATTTTATTTGTTGTTACTGTCTTTGGTTTTTACTTTTGTCGCTTTTGTTTTTCACTTTGTTGCTTTTACTTTAGCCTATTTTTTTCTTTTCTTGTACACTGCTGCTACTGCTGCTTTTATTCAAATATAGAAAAGTTGCACTGCTGTTGCTTCCAAATGAAGAGGAGGGAAGATTAGACAATAAGAAAGGGGGAATAAAATAAAAAATTAAGAAAAGGAGAGATAAAAGAAAGTAAGAAAATGCCAGAATTCAGAAAGAAAGAATAAAAAGAATCCGAGAGAAGTGAAAGCGGAAAACCTAGGAGTGCGTTTTGAGAGAAGAAAGAGTGTAAAAGCCTTTTTCCTTTTCTTTTCCTTCTTCAGTCCTGCTCAATGAGCTTGTTCATGGCCACTGCGGCCCGGCCCATGGCCGCCGAATTTCCTTCCGCCTTGCGGTTGATGCCATCGAGCTGCCGGTTCTGGCGGCCAATCTCCGCGTCCATGTCGAGGGCCATGTTGCGCAGGCCGCCCAGAAGGTGATCGACGCCGGCGAGGTTCGACGAGA